TATGGGACCCACACACTTTACACATGGCTCGATATTACAAAGCTTATCTAAAATATGATCACAAAAGGACAAACTATTTTAATAAAGTAGATTTAATAAACTTTAATAAAGTAACTTTTTCTATTTCAAATTTGGAAATTGATAAAGGGGAACTATGCCATAAAATGCTGTCCTGTCACTTTAATAAAGAAAAACCTAGGAGAATAATCATCCACAGAATGAGTAACTTGCAAGAAAAAAATTACTAAAAAGCGAAGCGTAGATGGGAAGAAAGAGGGTCTTAAGTTGAACTTTTGCAAACTTTTCAGACCTTCACCGGATAAAGGGAAAAAAATTGCGTTGCTTGACCTTTACAAAGGATGGGACTTCTTTTAGTGAAATTTGATAAGTGGTAAAATTCCACACTGAATAAAAATGAAAATATAAATCAATTTATAAGGGTTTTGTATTATTTTTCTTAATAAGGTTGATCTTTTGAGATAAAACTCAAATCTTAAAATGATATCGAGCACATTAAGCTTCAACAGCAATTCGATCCGATTAAATAAAAAAATGAGCACACGAATTTCAAAATTGGTTTACACAAATGAGCCACCATCTTGAGGGGCATGCTAAGAGATAAAATTTCGTACCGAATAAAGATGAAAATATAGATCAACTCATAATGGCTTTGTGTTACTTCTAATAATAATTTGACCTTTTAAAATGGAACACAATTCTTAACAAAATTAATATTAGACGTTTCATTTTTGTGAACTTTTTTTTTTAACTTTTTTCTTTTTTGAGCGGTTGTTCTTAACTTTGACGAGTGATGGAAAATGTTATTTTATTGAAAACTGTGTGGTTGAAAATGAGTAGAAGAATGAGAATGAAAATTTTAATGTGGTTCAAACGGGGGCTAAAAAATTGATCTTTTAAAAACAAATCCAAATTATTTGATCAAGTGGTGTGTTCTTTTATACTAACTTGTTCATGAATCTTAGCAGTCCAATAATTTCACCTAAATTCGAGACATGTGCAAGTGGGTTCTTGCCAGTGGGAAAGTCAGGCTAAGAATCCTAAGCTATTCCATCCATGTGCATCTCTCATTTACACACACATATACGACGGGTTATGCAAATCACGAATCTTGAATTTTTAAGCCCCCGTTTGGCACCCATTAATTTCTCATTCTCATTCCCATTCTCATTATCATTCTTCATTTCAACCACACATTCTCCAAATAAAATACTATTACATACAAATCAAAAACTTTTCATTACTTTTCCACCACACATTCTCACATCAATCACTATTCCAAAATTTCTATTCTCCTCAAAATTAGATTCAAACACACCCTAAGTCGCATATAATATAAGAATATACTTGTAATTGTAGATGGTCCAAAGGAGCGAGCTTGAGGTGAATTTTTGAGTTTGATTCTGGGTCATATAAGGTGAATCGTGTTTGTTCCATTAACTATAATTTTTGGACAAAACAGTGATAATATCTCATATCAAGTTGATATTAGAATTGGAGGCTATGTGTTCAAATCAATACTTAAGCATTCCCATGAAGTAGGTGGAATATGCAAAATAGATTGTATTTGTGTCGTGGGCTAAAACAAACAGGTGGATAATGCATTATGGATTGTATTTGTACCGTGAGTTAAAATGTCCAAGTCTCTAAAATAGAGAAAAATAGTTGGTAGTAAGATCCCCTTAGTATTCAAAATATTGCGATTTCAATAATTTAGAGCTTGTTTGGAAGAAACTTTTTAAATGATTTTTTTAAAAAAATTATTAACATTTTATAGAATTCATAATTTTCTTTTTTTACATTTTTACTTCAAATTATCCAAAAAAAAAAATCTCTTCCAAACAACACTTTAATTCGTTATTTAGCCCGTTCAATAGATTTTTTTTGAAAAAAAAAAAGAGTTTTTGAATAGTAAATTTTGGAAGAATGTGTGATTAAAAAATAAAAAAAAAATTTGAATTTACATAATGTATATTTTATTGTGATAATGTATTGTTGAAAATAAGTACGAGGAATGATTGTCAAATAGTGCTCAAGTGAATTATCACGTCGCGTGCATATACAACCATCCCACGTGACTTCACTTTGATCACAATCTAGTGATCAACACAGTCAACTTTATTTCTGGGCAATTGCTTTCGCCCATTTCCTAGGCGCCGTGTCCCCCGTCACCCATTCCCTACCCGCGTTTTCCGCTTTCCATAATCCATCAAGATAATAATCTTTCTATTTAGAAAATTAATATAAAGCAGTGGGGTTGTTTGAATTATTTAATGCGCGGACACAAGAGGGTCAGTGTCCCATTTCGATATAAAGGAATTTTCACTTAGATTTTAGATTTTTTATTTTGTTGGGCACATTCCATTCTTCGCCTAAATCTACTTCCCTCTTTTAGGCTTATCCCATTTGTTTCTTGGAAATAATTTTTGCCAATGCTAATGGAAAGCCCCTCCAACGACCGGTTTACCTTTGGGAAGATGGGTTATGGGTATTTTTCTCCCTTTCACTTTATTGGGATGTAGGAATTTCAAATGATTTGTGATGTTATGCTTAAATTCGTGATTTCCATAAGTTTTTTTTTTTGGTTATCTGATAGGTGGGTTGATTTTATTTATTGATATTTCATTTGAAGATTGTTATTCTGATGTATATTTATACGTATATTTGAATCTTCAGGATGCAGAATATTTTGCTCAAGAATTATATCTTTTAGCTTTTCCATTAGTGTGTTAATCTTGATTAATTCTTCAGATGAATATTGAATTTCTGCTGTGTTTAATTGTGTGTAAAGTTTGAATCTTTAAACTGTAGCCTTTTTAGGAGGAATACGAGGGGATCCCAGGAAATATGTGGATAATAAAGGGCAGTAATTATGAATATGTTGTTGAAATTAATATTTGACTTTGATGTGATAGAAAAATGAACTTATAAGTTACTTTTTAGGAAACAAGAACTTAGGCATATTGTGTAATTTTAAACTTTATGCACAAAAGCTGAATATTTCAACTGTTTCATTGGGGATTTGCCTTGGTTTAAGTAGTTAAATGACTGTTGGAGTCATGATTTATGAATGTAAGAACATGTTCATGTACTTTACCATCCAGATTGGTGTTTTAATTTTCCATGTAACATGTAGTCGTAAAGTTTGGATCTTGCCTATTTAATATAGTTTCAATCTTTGAAGTGTTTAAATGAAGTTTCAGATCTTTAATCTCTGAGATGATTTTGAATTTTTTGGTATCAAGTTGATAACTTTCTGATTATTTGAAACTATTGTAGATGCAAGCATAACAGAAGAAGATGCAAGATTCGATCTCCTAGCTGTAATGAGGT